GCGTACGGGTGAACCTGGGGGGGGAGTATAGCGACCTTGCGCAATCACACAGGAGGAGGAGGAGGAGGAGGAGGAGGAGGAGGAGGAGGAGGAGGACGAGGACGAGGACGAGGACGAGGACGAAGAGAGAGGAGAGCAGGAGAGGAGCGCAGGAGGGCGAAGGTGCGAGGGCCGAGCTGGAGGGGCCAGCTTGCCCCAGGTCATACCCTGGCGGGTGCAGCGCTGGGCCGCGCTCTGGCGCGTCCACCTGCCCAGCATCGGGGGCCCCTCCGTCGCGCCCGCCGTTCGAGGCGCGCGGGCGTCCTCCTCCTTCTTCGTCCTCCTCCTCCTCCTCCTCCTCCTCCTCCTCCTCCTCCTCCTCCTCCTCGCGCAGCTGTGCCAGCGGGAAATGTTTGCAGGTTTCCGCCGTGCTGCGCAGCAATCGCCTGGATTTGATGCCCTGGGGGAGGCCCAGCATACGCCCGCCCATCGGTCGGATGCTATCATATAGGCCCTTCCCCCAGACCAGAAGCGAATAGCTGTAGCCAACCAGGACGCTGACCGCCTGGCTAAGTACGCCCTCTCGCTTCATCCTCAGCCTGCCCCTGCTGATCTGGAGATGCTGGATAGGCAGGTGCAGGCCCTTCGAGCGTGTGCGCTAATGTTCGGGAAGGTGCTCTCTCTTTTTCCTAAGCTGCACTTTGAGAGACCCCCGAAAGAGAAGAGGTTGCCTAGAGTTCCTCCCCCGCCCGACTGGCATGATTGGGATGAGCTCAGTGGCGATCGACCCGCTTTCAGGTGTAAGAAATGTTTCAGGATTTCGTTCGAGGGCGAGTCCCGCCCGATGAATGGTTGTGCTGGTTTGTCCACGGCCCTGAGGCGCCTCCAGGGTGCTGAGACCGAGCGGCAACATAAGTTGGGTTTTGCCATCCTGCACAAGTCCCAGAGACCGCTGTTTTCCTGTTTTGCCTGCGGAGCATACACCAGCAGGCGATGCCACTTGCTAGGTCAGACCTGTGTCAAGAAGTTGAGCACTGCGGGTGAACAGGTGCTCACACGACTTCAGGCTGGCCTCCACCCCCACTACAGAAAGAATCCTGAGGGTGATGACTCGCTGGCGCCTGCTAGAGCGCCGTCGAAGTCGGTGCTTCTTGCCCCTCCTGGTCCGCTCGCTGCGGGGTCGTCTCGTTTGGTCGATTCCGACCGCTTGCGAGCGCTCGCAGCCCGAATTCAGGCCAAGGAGGAGGCATCCAGGCGCTAGCCGCTGCCTGTCAAGCTGACGTTTTGCCGCAAGGTCGTCCCGTCCTCCTCCTCCTCCTCCTCCTCCTCCTCCTCCCCCTCCCCCTCCCCTCCCCCTCCCCCTCCCCCTTCCCCTCCCCCCTCCTTCCTTACTTTACTTCCCCTCCTCGTCCTTCCTAGTCCTGCCTCCTCCTCCTCCGAGCCTCCTCCTCCCTTATCCTTCTCTGACACACTCGCTAACCCCACTCCCCCCCCTCCTGCCCCCCTCCTTTTCCGCTACATGGTTCCTCCCAGCCCCGCCTTCCTCTTGGCGTTCCCCTCATATCTCCCCCTCCCCTCGATATCCCCAGCTAGCTCCTCTATCCTGCTTGTTTCTCTTCACTCCAAACTCCTCCTCCTCCTCCTCCTCCTCCTCCTCCTCCTCCTCCTCCTCCTCCTCCTCCTCCTCCTCCTCCTCCTCCTCCTCCTCCTCCTCCTCCCTCCTTTTTTGATCCTCCCCGTCCTGCCCCGCCTCCCTCCTCCTGCCTCTTCCTCCCGCCCACCTCCTGGCCCCCTCCCGCCACAAGCGAGAGGAGGGCGAGGAGAGATGAGGGAGGTAGAAGTTGACCTCTGGTCCTTGGTTTTCCGGGGGGGGGCTCACCACGCCCCGGGTTTATCTAGATATCCGATCCGAGTATAAGGCAGTTCATCCTCAAGGTGGCGATCTCATGGGCTGGCCAAGTTTCAGGGGACCGGCCTGTGAGGTGTTCCAGAAAAGGTCCTCGCCTGCGGCAGAAGGTCGGCGGAAGTAAAACGAGGCCGCTTCTGCCGGCAGAGGCTGGCGGATGCTCGGCGGAAGGCGGCGGAAGTACAAAATGCGCCCCCAAGCGATGATAACGTTATTTGGGTTCAGGGTTTCCGAAATCCGCCTTCTGATCCAGATACAGCGAGCTTGCACTCGAGTCTGTTCAAGCAGCGCCATGGCTGGGGCAGAGACACGCAGCACAGCGACGTGCGAGCGACGGAGAAAAACGTAACGCATCCCAGAAATCCCACAACTCTCAATGAAAGCACAGGGTTTGCGATGTCAGGGTTGCGGAAGCCTTATGTTTTCATGGGAATGTTTGGGATTCTAGGATGAGAAGTGAGGGGGCCATGTGTTTTGATTCGGATGTGTTGTGTTTGGGGCCAGAGCTCCTGGAAGGGCTCCTGCGTTGGATTTTCCCTGGAGGGAGGAAAACAACTAGGTGAAAACACATGGCTTCCTTACCTATCATCCCAGAGAGCCCAAACATCCACATGAAAGCGAAGGGTTTCTGCACCCCTGACATCGCAAACCTTTTGTGTTCATTCGGATGTTTGGGTTCCTGGGATGAGAAATTTGGAAACCATGTGTTTTCATTTAATTGTTTGTTTGCTTCTGGGGATGGGAGGGCTCCTGGGCTCGATTTTCGCTGGAGGGGGAAATCAAAACAAACAGTAAAGTCCCAATGAAACGCATGGGTCTTCACTTCTGATTCCAAAATTCTCAAACGACACATGGAAACATAGGGTTTCCGCACCCCAGACATCGCAAACCTTGTGCTTCAAAGGGATTGTGTTGGATGTCTGGGAGAGAGAGAGAGAGAGAGAGAGAGAGAGCGAGAGAGAGAAACGAGAGAGAGAGAGAGAAAAAAAAAAAAAAGGACAAGAGAAACGAGAGTGAGAGGGTTTGAGAGATAGAGAGAAAACTCAAACATAAAACACAAACAATGTGAGACAGTGAGAGAAGGAGAGAGAGAGAGAGAGAGAGCGAGAAGCAGAGAGAGGGAGACAGAGAGAGAGAGACAGAAAGAGAGAGAGAGAGAGAGAGAAAAAAAAAAGGAATAATAAGCAAAAACATAGAGACAGAGAGAGAGAGACAGAGAGACGAGGAACATAAGGAGGAACGGAAGTGCATCATCATCGTAAGTGAAGGCTGTTAAGAATGGGTGCTGGGGTGGGGGGCTGTCCATATGTACCCCAGGAAGCTGCGTCTTCAGCAGAGCACCCGCCTTGCGTGGAGCCAATCGGAAGCTACTCAATCACCAATGTCCTGCCAGTTGGCATCGCTCGGGCGAGCGTATTTTTTCTCGGCGAGGAGCACCGAGGAGCGTCTTGGACCATCCGTCGAGAAAAGGTCGCGCACGACACCGAAGCACAACATGCACGGGGATTGGGCGTCCGAGCGATGGCGAGCACCCTGTCTGGTGATCCGAGCCCCACCTCCGGGGCGAGCGCGTTCCCTCATCCCTCCTCCTCCTCCTCCTCCTCCTCCTCCTCCTCCTCCTCCTCCGGGGCGAGCTTGCCGGGGGGCGGGCAAGCCACGGGGGCCACACTGCAGGCCGCGCGCCACGCCATCCGAAGCCACGGGGTTACCCGAGCGCGTCGAACGTAGGCGGACGAAGCCGAGCTCCACGGGACATCCAATGCGTCCGAGCATCTTTCGGCTGGCACGCAAGGTGGCGGATGCAGACAAGGTCGCTGTGAAGGCGGCAGGGCCGGTTTCAAATAAGGAGAAGGTGAGAGACAGGCCTCAATAGTGCTTATAAGATAAACCCCGGAGAGAATTTGGTGCAAGGAGGCATGCTTCAGAAGGCCAGGCTTAAGCGCCCCTTCAGCCAGCACTGAACAAACGAATCATGTGTGTCAACCTGTCGTGTCCGTCAGACATGTCGGAATATGGTACGTACCAAGCGCATGTGCAATTCAAGCGCCAACCATGCAAAGGGCCAGGCGGCATGGTGGACAGGTGAGGTTTTTTGAGGCAGATTGTCACGGATTGCAAGGCCTCTTGTACCGCGAGCCCCACTACCCCAAAAAGCCAATCGACGCTCCTTCTCGCCAGGACTCCCTCAAAGTCGAGGCAACGTGAAGGGAGTAAGATGTTTGACCGTTGTCAGTTGTGCTTGTTCCAGCCGTACATTATGATCGCGCTTCTCTTAGGAACTCGTATGGGTAGATCTTTGCCCAGCGGGGCATTACGGCCACGCTCTGTTAGCAGGGTGCCGAATGTGTAGTCGGGAGCGATCGCTTCTAATGCTGACACATTCTGACATCGCTCTAACATGAATTTCTCGTCGAAGCTTGGTGAATCTATCGTGTCCACGTATCTGGAAGCACACGCACACACAGGCGCGCGCATTTCGCACATACATATGTACATCCATACATGTATGTCTACATGGTGAGACTAGGTCAAGCAAGAGCGCGCAAGTGTGGCGCGAATCCATATTAGTTTGTTGCGACTGTGTCATGCTATGCCGCCGAACCTAGCATGCTGTTATGCGCAACCACCACGGTCGCATCGAAGCGACACCCACACGATTGATCCGTGGACGTCCGTGAAGTTGGGTAGGACAGGTGCTGACCATCTCAGCGTCGGCATTCACCATTTCAGTATGTGGTCGCTCTTCCTCCTGCGCATCGAGATGGCAATGTCTTACAGTGGAAACCCATGCCAAGAAACTCCCTGCTTGCCTCCAGGGTGCCCTGGGTCTCTTGAGTCTCGATGGTTCGCTATGACAAGCGCGACGCTCCCGCACCAACAAGTCGATGGACGTCCTGGGGCCTCAGGGTTGTCTCCTCCTCCTCCACCTCCTCCTCCTCAACATCCCTCTCCTCCTCCTTCTCCTCCTCCTCCTCCTCCTCCTCTCCTCCTCCTCCACCTCCTCCTCCTCCTCAAGATCCTTCTTCTCCTCCTCCTGCCTCCTCCTCCTCCTCCTCCTCTGGAATGGTTCTTGTGGTCGACCTCCCCCTGTGACTCACATCTGTGGCCCGTGGTCAGCTGGGCTCCGCGGCGAGGCCATGGCGCCCCCCACGGCGCCGCCCAGCAGCACGGTGGGCCGGGCCTCCCATAATGCTGCCACCGAGGATTCAGAGGAGGGGGACGCTGCCATGATAGCCAAAGAGCGGCGGCGAGCGAGGGGGGGAAGTGAGAAGCAGGCGGCCTTCTCAGAAGGCGCCGGGGCTTCTCAGAGGCCCTCGCGCCTTCTGGCAGGTCTTCTGTGTCTCTCCGGGGAGGGCTCAGGAAGCTCCTCAGAAGGCTGGGGCACTTCCGAGCCTTCTGGGAGAGGCTGCCCCTTCTCTCTTCCCCCCCGGGCTCGCCGCCGAAAAGATCCCGCCGACCCCGAGATGAAGGCGGAGAGCGATGCAGAATCTTCTCCTTCGAAGCCGTCGACTGGCACCGTAGCGCTGGGGGTCGCCCTATACGCGGCGTGTTCCTCGACGCTGCTTGTCATCAACAAGGTGACGATGGCTTACCTTCCCGACGCGGCGTTCGTACTGTTCTGCCAATTCGTCTCCTCAGCGCTTGCCGTGCGGCTGCTGAGGTGCGCGCGTCCGTCCGCAGACATCGAGCTCCTTTCATGGGAGAAGTCGAAGAAATTTGTGTTCGCCACGTTGGTGTTCTACGCGTGTTTGTTGTCGAACACGCAGGCGCTACAGTACGTCAACGTAGAGACGGTGATCGTGGCGCGCTCGTGCTCGCCTATAGCGGTGGCGCTGCTCGACCATGTGGCGTTCGGGCGCGATCTGCCCAATGCAAGGGGTGCTTTGTCTCTGCTCTCCGTTGCCGGCGGGGCCTTCGTTTACGTCTTGGGGGACCAGGGCTTCAAGATAAAGGGGTACGCGTGGATAGCAGCATATTTTTTCTTCATAGTTTTGGAGATGGTCTTCGTGAAATTTATCGTGGATACGGTCCCAATGTCCACGTGGACGCGAGTCTATTACAACAACGTCCTCTCCATACCCATGGCTGTATTATCCTCTGTCGTGGCGGGAGGCTCCGTCGTGTTCGCCACGACTCTGTCACCCAGCGCTATATGCGCCGTCGGAGTGTCATGCGTGGTGGGAGTAGCTATATCTTATGCTGGATTCAATTTGCGCAGCCTTGTGTCCGCCACAAGCTTTACTGTCGTTGGGGTTGTTTGCAAGATGTTATAGGCTTACTCCACATCCGCCGACCCCTATATAAACAAATGCGCCTCCAGGACTGCATTTCACGAGGCTTGTCCGAATCGTGACACGGCGCTCGACATCGTTCCTGTTGCTTCGTTGCTGTTATCGTACCTCTTGGTGCTCTTTTGTGGCCTTCTGGTGGCATCTTGGCCTGTCTGCAGGCCATATCCGGCCGCCTCGAGGCATCTTGGGCCAAGTTTCGGGGCCTTATGGGGGCTTCCTGGGGCTTCTTGGAGGCCTTTGAGGTTCTCTTGGGGGTCCCTCAATGCCTCTTGGGGCGTTCTTTGGGCAGGCTGGGGGCGTCTTGGGGCCGAAGGCTCGAAAAGGTGCCCTCTAGACTCCCTCTTGGAGCCGTCTGGGGGCCCTCTTGGGCTGTCTTGGGGGCTTCGTGGGTTATTTTTGGACCCTCTTCGACCCCTCTTGGGGGCCCCTTCGGCCGTCCGGGGGCGATATTGAAGGTTTCTTTACCCGGCTTGGACGTTGTGAAAGCCGAAGAGGCGAGAATGCGAAAAAAAAACTGTTTTTTCCCAAGGGAGTTTGACGATTTTTGTTTCTGGGGACCCTTTGGACGCATCTTAGAGGCCTTTGGAGGCGTCTTGGCAGCTTCGGAGGCCGTCTGGAGGCCATCGTGGGCGTCAAGGAGCGATATTTCGGCGACTCGTGGGAGCGTTTGGGTGCCTTCTTGGCCCGTTTTGGAGCCCTCCGCTCCCCCATGACGCGTTCGGTCCGGGGTCGGGCCGGGCCAGGGGGGGGTCCAATTACCGCTTTGGAGTGGGATCGTCTCACACGCCTAGAGACCCACAAGGGGTCGGCGGATTATAACCGTCTTATTGAACGACATGATCTGGACGCAGCACTCGAACGCGGCTGGGCACTTCGGACTGCTCATCTGCATCGCAGGCGGCTTCGCATACGAGCGTACCAAGGCGGGTGCCAGAAAGTAGTTCCCTCTCCCCACCCCCTGTCCTCGCCATGCATCACTGCTCTGGGCAGCGCGATCCTGGGAGCATCGGCCTCGGCACACACCCGAGACAGGCAATCTTGGGCCCATGAAAACAAAAAACCGTCGCATGAATCGTGGAGGCGTGCGCAGCGTCGGCCCCACCATAGTCGCCTACGCACTCGTGTCGACAGTTGCGGAAACGTTCTCCCGATGTAGGTTTTGGGTGCCGAGTGTGGTGGCCAATAGAGTTCTGGGAGTGGCAGTGCGGCAGGCGTCGGGCTTCGTGAAGTTTTCTGTGGACGGATTCTCTAGTCTACCTTGCTGCCGAAAAAGACATCTCGTGAGCGGCAGCCTTGACATTTTCCAAACAGCGCTTCGCTGTCAGGCTTCGCAGATGGCAGCGATTCCGAGCCTTGGCAGGACCATCCTCAAGCTTGGAGCTCCGACCCTCCATGCCGCGCGTCCCAGGAGCCCGTCACCCAGACGGAAGAACCGCCAGAGATGGTTTGGCAACTAGCAGACAGTATGTCGCGCGGGCCACGCTCTTGCCATCATTTTGACGCTGGAATCGTTTGAGAGTTCTTTGCAGTGCGTTCAAGGAGGGTGTTCCAGCGTCTGCCGTCGGAGGAGCAGCGTGGTGTTTACAATCAGATTCTCGAGAATTGCGCTCTCAGTTGATTGGCAAATTTTCCACCATCGCTACCATGTGTAAGACGGGGGAGAAAGGAGGATGGGGAGGTCCTCCTTCTCTTCCTCCTGCTCCCTCTCCTCCCCCTCCTAACTATTGTAGTGGTGGTGGGAAATCTGCCCATCATCAGTGCAGCACCAGTCTCAACCCTTCTGCCAGCCAGGCGATGTCCTATGGATGGACAACCTACTCACGAGCAGGCTTCTCGCCGTAGCGGTGGCCATACCTTGTCACCAAGGCGTCAAGCTCGTTGCTCCAGTTATTCATTGACAGTTCCCTCGCCATGTCGCCAGCCACACCCGTCTGCCGTCCCGAGGAATCGCTGGGAAATTCATGACAAGTCCTCCTCTGCATTTCGCGAGGGGCCTGTCATATCGGCCAATGGTTCGACGCTCTAAGACCGCCTACACGGACATTTGGGCTGCCGCATTTGGGCATTGGCATTTGCAGTTGTTTGCCAGGCAGGAGTCGTTTAAGATTTTCCCAGAGGTTGCAGAGGGGGTTCTCGCTTCGGCGCCAGCCACATTCGTGTGCCATCCAGGATCTCACTAGGACCGTGAAGCGACCTTACCAAGCATTTGCAACGACACTACCCTCAAATCGGGCATGCCCCTTTACAGGAGGAAAACTTAAGAATCTAAACAATAGCCTGGTGACGAGTTGTCGTGTTCTTTTGACTATTTGCATTACTTGCTGACTTTATTTTTTTGCTTCTCAAATCCGCCTGCAGACATGCCCGACCTAACACTACCCAGACCCTCCCACGACCCTACAAGGACCTACCATGACTTCTCTTGGATCGTACCAGGGCCTGCGATGTGATAGCCATTTCCCAGAGGACTCGACCAGACAGGGTCTTTCCACGACGCGATCGGATCCACACCTGGACCCCCATACCAGAACACTGGCGGGACTCTGCTAAGAACCGACCAGGAACTTGGCAGGACCCTGACAGGGGAAGAATCATCACCCACCGAGGCAATTTGAAACCAGGAATCGAGGGTCTTGGATTTAAGGTAGCGCGACCTTGGGAAACGCGCCAGGTACGAATCCAGAACCCCGAAGCATTCGCTTGGGAACCGAGTCCAACAACCCAGGAAGCATGTTTCTTCCTTTGTCAGTCTTCTCTCTTCCGTTGCTCTTCCTAGGAGCGAGCGGTGGGTGGAGGAGATGGAGGAGGAGGCGCAGGAGGAGCCACCTCCCCCGCCCTTCAGTTGTGTCTCCTCACCCGCCTGCTTGTTATCCCATATCCTTCGTGAAACGAGCATTTTCAACAGATTCGCTTGCTTCGTCTCCACAGTGCCCCTGACGCCCCCGAGGAGCCCCAAAACAGCCCAAAAGGGACCCAAGACGGCCCATGAGAGCTACAAGCCAGCCCAAGAGAACCCAAAAAGGCACCCAACAGAGCCACAACGGAAGCCAGAAGAGCTGCCTAGAGATTCTCGGGGGGCCTCTCCCGCAGCGTCTGAAATCAGGTTCCCGGAAGCCTCTCTGGGAACATGATTTCCGGGTTCCGAAGACGCCCAAGAGGGCCATGAGACGGCCCCAACAAATCCTAAAAGGACGCCCGAAAAGGCCCGGAGGGACGCAGTTCGTTGATTTGCGCGACATGTCGTTGGATCTCTTGCACGCGGGGGAGGAGGAGGAAGAGGAGGAGGAGGAGGAGAAGGAGGGGGAGGAGGAGGAGGAAGAGGAGGAGGAGGAAGAGGAGGAGGAGGAAGAGGAGGAAAGAGGAGATGAGGAGGAGGAGAAGGGTAGGAGGAACGGGGGGGGAGGAGGCGGGGGGGAGAGGAGGGTGGGGGGAGGGAGGAGGAGGAGGAGGAGGAGGAGGAGGAGAAGAGGAGCGGAGGAGGAAGAGGAGGTGGAGGAAGATCGTGGAGGAGGAGGAGGAGGAGGAGGAGGAGAAAGGGAGGAGGAAGAAGAAGAGGGAGGCCTCCTCCGAGTGTTCCCTTCATCCGATGTGGCCCAGTGTTTGCGCGGCGTTGCGGTGCCGCGTTGTGAGCCATGTAGGCTGGACAGGGGGAGGAGACGGAGCAGGGGGAGGAGGAGGAGTGAGAGGAGGATGAGAAGGAGGAGGAGGAGGAGGAGGAGGAGGAGGAGGAGGAGGAGGGAGGAG